TACCATATTTCACGTACCAACCTCCTTGTCGCACCCGATTTTTGCTTATGTTCAATATCCCAACCATTAATACCGCAACGAAAGCACCACTAATCATTTGAAAATATTAATAGATCTTGACTGGACACTTTCCCAATAAGTATTTCGCAAAAAGAATTTACAGCATACATTAGATTCACCTATTTAAGTAGTATTTCCCTCTACAGTTCTGGTAATTATTATACATATTTCAAGGATTATCTGAACATAATATGAGAACAATGAATATTGTGAAAATTCATCTAACATAATAGATTACCAATTCAAGTTTCAAAAATCTATTGATTTTTCCACTACAATTGTGCATTCAAATAAATTTTTTTTTAACTTCAATGAATTATTTTACCATTAAATTGAAGTGATATTTGAATGTTACATAGAAAATCAAATGAATTAGTAAAAAGTTTATTCAAAAAAACACACTTCAATGCGGTTTACAAAACCGCGACACGAGTTTCGCTATACAATAGCATCTTCAGGCGTAACGGTACAGTTTGAAAAAAATCTGTGTCGTGCTTTTAAAGTAATTGGAATCATTATGATTATTACTACCTGACAAATTTTCACATGCTAAATTCATAACCTCCAGTTTCATGAACAATTCATGAATAATGAATACAATTTGTACCAGAACCATCATTTTACTGACTTTTGAGACCTGTCCTATATAGTTATCAATTTTCTCGTTGTACACTAAATTTAAAGGAAACAATTCAAATCAATTTGAACCTTTCTATTCCAAATGCAATATGTTATTTTGTCATTATGTGATTGAACTCGTGCCCCTCTCTCAAATGATGGTTGGCAAATATTGAATTGGTCTTCCTATTCAAAAAACTACGCGTTATCTCTTTCATTCTTTTGAAAAAGTTCTTCCGGTTTGTCCGATAAAAAACTTTGGACGAGAACCATAAGTCAACTTGTATACTCCCAATCTATCCGATAGTGGAGTTTCATTCTTATTGGTTTTAATGAATTTACTCACATTATTATGTAACAGTACGAATACAGAATAGTCATAATTTACAATGGATATGAGAATATTAGTATTTATTCCACTTCTAAGCACTTTTCGCAAAACTTAAAGTGGATATCAATTGTTGAGGATTTGATATGTATTCTTTAGAATTGTGATATTCAAAAAAATCTTACATACATAATATTCTGAGGAAAATCTAAGTTATGAATAACTGCTGATTCACTTTGGCAAATAAGAATTATGAAGAGGTAAAGTGAAATATGTTTGAGAGATAATTCGCTTGTAAAAACGAATCACTTTTCGAAAAAACAATTCATTGTATGAACAAAGAAATCGAATATGACACAAATAAAATAAAATGTAGTTACAATTTGAAATTTTTGGTGATAGTTTATTGATAAACTACCTATGGAATGGCAAGAAGTGCGTCACAGTAAAAATAAAAATCTCGAAAAATTGAAGAACATTATCTCGACTTAAAGAAATCTTGCTCTCCTATATTCATGAAGAAATATTTTCATAAACTGANATTTGGAAACAAGATAAAATATATGTTCAAAAAAAGAGATTAACAAATTTGAATCAACCTGGAGTATTTCTCAGTTCAAATTGATATACACTTGCAGAGCTCGGCAAATGTAATAATGCAAATTACGAAGCATTGATATACTTTTCGCAAAATGAGGGCAAAATTAAGAGTTGATGTCAAAGTTTACCACTTTCTCTTCGGTACTACGTATACAATACAGTACTTACTGATATAGCGGAGTTTTTTCTCAAATAAACCAAACACCACAATTTTATTCAATTATAATACTCACCCATGAAGAAATCTTTCTATCTTTCAACTGTGTAAGAAAGATAGAAAAGAATTGTCGTGTAAAAGAATTGCACTGCCAACAAACACATAAAACACTTCCTCCTTGAAATTGCAACACAAAACATAACTTTCCAACACATACACGATGCTTACAAGGGAATTCCCCATTCCCCTCTCACTTGACAGGGTCATAGGAAGACCAGATTTTCCACTGAAAAAATGAAATACTTCTTTAAAAGAAACCGTGTTTACTCTAGACAAAATTCCTGTTATCTTCAGTCGATCATAATGTAGTTTTGTATATAGATTTACAAAACTCTTGTTATAAACGAATTGAGTTATTTGAAGGGATACAGTTTTGAATTCAAACAAACAATATGTTTTCAGATCAAGTTGATATTGCTCTCCATTTCAAACAGTTTATTTTTCTCTTTAAATAGGTGGTAGATTTTCAGATGATATTATATTTTCTTGATTCAAAATAGTTCATCTTTGCAATAATATAATCAAACGAATGATGTCGTTGAAAGGCCAAGAAATTTGATTTCTCCGTTTGAAAAAGTGTGAATTCTCTTATGGAACATGGCGCTGTTGGCATGAAGTAATAGTTTCTCCAATAGAGATAAAAATTTCAAAGCAACCTGTGATCTTACTTATTTTTTACTGTATGCCTATACAATATCTGCCTTGATAATAAAAGTAATTATTTATAATATTCAAAAATGCAAAATAAAAATGAAGTACGTACATTTATGTAACATCAATCTATTGAGACTTTGGTTTCCCAGATGAATAGCAAATTCTTCGAATAATTAGCCTTTCTACCTACTACGTAATCTGTAGGTAATCTCTCTCGCACCCACATCTCATCCTGTATATTCCTGTGTTTACTTGATGATAGAAATGGTCCACAAAGCTTACGTTGGCCGGTTGGCCCATTCCCATTCAGTTTTCAGTTTAGTTCCGACCAAGGTAAAGGTAGTTTATAGAAATGGTGGTGCCCGGTACTAGACGTAAGTCATTAAATTATTATTATTGCTAGACAATACATTAATGTTGAATAATATTAGTTGATGAGTTCTAAAGTTAATGAATACATGCCTTTGTACCGATAATTTTTTGAACTAGAGATACAGTAGATACTAGAGTTGTTATCAAAATTTAAAATACTTCGAATTCGAAGATTTTGACACTTATCAGATGTTTTGTTATAGTTCTCAAATTATTCTATATAAACACACAAGTCTCCTCCTTTTTTTCAGTTGACACAGCTATTATGAATTTGAAGATGAATTATCCATAAATTTATGAACTGTTGAACTTCGGATATGATTCACTTTTCTAATTAATTCACTCCAATTATGCAACGTCAAACAAGATAGTTGAAATAAATATTAACTTTGATTTTATGAGCGGAATGATCAGTAATGATGATGGTAGCAATAATACTTTTATTCCTATGCATTTCACATCCAAAAACATTATTTATAAACATCTGTGTCCAATCAATCTTTCTCGAAATTCAATAGGTTCTCTTGCCGGTTTTGGGTTCCATAATGGTGAACGGAAAATTCCAACATGTGGCTTTGACCATTGCTGAAGTGCGATCTTTTTTTAAAAAATTCACATCTTTTGTCCAAAGATTATTTATCAGTTATTTTTCTCTATTCTATAAATTCTGCCTTTGTTTATAACAAAGTGATAGACAACATTTGAACTTTCGTATTGGTTCATTGTGTCAATAAAAAATCAATTCAAATATTTGGAATACTTATTTGTTATTCTAATACTCTTCTGAAGTAATAGTCAAAACATTAAAATATTTGTAATGGATATGTATCATAATATGAGAACAATGAATATTGTGAAAATGTATCTAACATAATAGATTACTGATGCAAGTTTCAAAAATCTATTGATTTTTCCA